TCTATGACCATGCTGCTTCCCTGCATGCTTTCATAATTTTCGTTTCCAAAACAGGACGATGATTTTAAATTGCAAATTTCTGTAAATTTGCATTAAAAATTAAGTAAGTTTGTTTTCGCATGTCTCTGAGTGGTTACGTGTAGATCTCCACCGAGCGCTTAAGAAAATGAGGCGATTCTCGGGGAAGCCCGCAGTTTTTCATGTTGTTGTTTCCTTTTTGCTCCTTTGTAGTTTACAAGGAGGTGTGAATGGACAGTTTGGCATGGACGATGTTAACCTACAGGAAGACGTTCCACAACCGACTGAATCAAGCTGTGAAGGAAGAAGAAGGAGATCCGTCAAACGCAGTGCAAATGAGTCTTTGCACGGCACACCACCAGCTTTTGACGATTGTATGGTTTATCGTTACACTTGCCCCGATCACGTCAGAATCTCCTGGCTACATGCAGCACCCTTTCTTTATGATGCCAAAGGCAATGGCAACAAAAGCGAAGAACATACACCGAATATGAAAGGCATTTTTCATGATGTGGTAACCCGAGCAATTGGCGCTTGTTGCAAGATATTTGCTGGCAAAATCCCGCAAATTCGTTTTCTCGAAAAAGCGCCAAATCTAATGGCTCTACGCCACAAACTCCTCCATCGCTCGGCAGACATGATAATTCCCGTGCACAACGATGAGGAGAAATACGGAGGAAACGTGCCGTACATCAAGGTATTAGACTCCCCTGGTGTTATACTCATCGCCCCTCATTCCTCCACGGTTAAAAAATGGAACTTGGTATTCAAAGCTGTGTTTGGAACATGGCCAGTGGTTTTAATGGCGTTCTTAATGTCATCCGTGGCTGGTGTACTGATTTGGGTTTTGGTGAGTAGATGGAAGACCGTTGATTTGTTGTGCAAATGTAGGCGAGGGTAGCGAGTATAGTCTGTTTTATCTTTTCTTTATTTAGATTATGAGCTGAAAAAACCGAGCTGGTTTTCAGATCCAATTAGGTTTTCGCCCTATACGTGGTAAAATAACAAGAAAAAAGCCATTCTTCCTAACAACGACTTAACTTTAATCTTATGTTGAGAACGTAGTAACGTAGTTACCAGTGGTCGACGAATAAAATATCATTCACCAACATTAATAAAAACGCTATTGTTTACTTTACATCAAAGTAGCTCACTTTGTTTAATGTGGAGGGAAAAGTATGCTAATTTTTGATTAACGCTTTGTAAACGTGAAAAGGTAATTATATCTATTATCGCGGACTTGATTGTGCCAAAGGAAAAGGAACCAATGCATCTTTGAAGCTATTCAGCCATGTACATACTTAAGTTCTTTTTTCACCCTTTTCTTTCTAATTTTCACTCCCACCAGAATAAACCATGCATTGTTACGACAAAAATAGTTTTGCGAAAATTTACTCCTCTCGTACAGAAATTACTGATAACTTGGCTGACGGGCTCACGTTTTTATGTAAATTTACACAAAAGCGTGAGCTATAATTCATCATTTCTCCTCAAGAAGCCAAAAATTGGCAAAATTGGCAAAACAAAAAAACAAAAAAAAATTTTTATTATGCATTTCACTTTCGTTTAACAGCAAAGCTGTTCTTGGTGTTACTGTAGTTTTCCTGACCATCCAAGGAAAGTCATCTTCAGTTTCACGTCTTATCTCCTCCTCTGATTTTTAGTGCCAGGTGTATTTAATTCTCCCGATTTTCTTCACAAAATGAATAAACATCGATTAGTCATGCATCTTTCAGATATAAACAAGTACGCTAAGAATCGTATAATTAATCTACACTACTAAAATCCGGCTCTCTAAATCCTTTTAAGAATTAAAAAAACTCCCGCAAAACATATTCAAGTCGCCTATATCCATAAAACATGATTTTCATGCCACAAGTTGGTAAACTTACAACTGCTAATTGCGTTTCTGGCAAGCGAGATTGTTTAGATTGATAAAGTCGGGCAGGTGAACGCAACCCTGAAGGGACAACAGTTGTTGGTTTTATTTTTCTGAAAGAAAAAACTCGAGTGAAGCAAAAAATATAGTGTTATCGATACGAGGTTCTCTAAATCTTTTTGTTTATCGTTTATCTGTTTCTTAACCGCAGGATTCGTCGTATAACTCAGACGAGTTTCCTCGCAGATTTAACCAAGGGGCCTTCGAAGGATTTTGGTGGGCTATTGTAACCATAACAACTATTGGGTAAGTCCAGTCAATCGAGAAAACCCTAGGCAAGCGTGAACTGAAGTGAATTGTGGTAGAAATTGTCGTAAATTGTAACACCTGCCGTAAATAGTAAGAGGCCCCGTCGGGCCGGCGCATGTAACATTTCAACATAAGATTGTTGGATTGCGTTGGCGTTAATAGGCCACTTTCGATATATCAATATTCTAACATGGCTCCGAGTTTCTTTTGTCTCTCAATTCCCAAAAGAGACTTGGATACAAAGTGTAGAAGTTTGTCATGAAAGCCTCGGAGCCATGTTAAAATATTGATATATCGAACGTGGCCTATTCACGACGGTGGATTGACGTTATTCCGCGATTATCAAATAGTGACAAATGCTTCCAGTCGTTGGTCAGTCAACATGCAGGGTTTACACCAACAAAACTGAGATTAGGAAAAGAAGGTGGAACGAGAACACAAATCGTTACCAGGAACCAATGTTTTGCTTAGAGACGCCCCTTCCCTTCTGATCGTTACTAAACTGGGCCAGGTTGGTTCGAAAGGCAGTCTAAGCTGGAAGGGATGGTTTCACGGCTCGGCGCATGTGCAAGCAGTACCGTTATCCCATTTGATTCCATGGTTTATGGAAACAATCAAAAACGTGCTAATGACTTAAACCGCGAAAAATGGTTCTTTCAAAATTTAGCTTTCTGTCTCGAAAACGCTACGATAGAGGCGGTATTTCTCATGTGTGCATTCTCATTTTTACTAACTTTCTTTGTTTATGACTGAGATACAAGCCAGAGCTGCCCTCAGAAACAAGCCAATCAACCGCGCTCAGAACTGACAAGTAACTGATAAATAAACGTCAGGGTTTAGGTACGAGCCAAGTGGCCCATCAGGCCGGAGCTTATCCCGGTTTCCGTAACATGAAGCGAGTAGGAGTATATCTACTCCACCCCCTGGATAGGATGCTAATCCATTGCAGGGTTACCCCCAGCATTAACTTCGCCGGTACCTATTTATACACCTGGGTGGAGAGAGGCACTGTGAGAGTAGTGTCTTGCCCAAGAACACAACACAACGTCCCCGGCCAGGGCTCGAATCCGGATCGCTCGTTCCGGAGACGAGCGCACTAACCATGAGGCCACCGCGCCTCCACTGAGGGTTTAAGCTGAAGCCGAAAAAATTGGGTTTGTCAGTGCTCTGAATTACTAACTACTAACAAGCTCTTTTGACCATTAACAAAGCTATGGCGACAAGACGCCGAAGTCTGTTCTTGCAAGACTGTTCGCAGTGGTGTGGATATTGATTGGTGTTACTGTTTGTTCTGTGATGACTGCTACCCTCACAGATGCTTTGACGAGTGTCAAGCTTGAGAAATATGACGTCACGTCAGGAAAACGGGTGGGTTGTTTAATTGTTATGGCGTTTTGTGATACAGCCTTTTCTTAGTAATTGTTTCCAAAGCAATTCTGTAACATGTACCGTGTTTTCTAAGGATTTTTTCCCGTCCGCCCCCACCATTGCTGAGTGTTTTCTATAAAATGAACGTTTATTGATTAATGCGAGGACACACAAGTACGGTATGCCATGTAACATCGTATAATACTGAGTAGTACCTGAAACTATCAAGATACATTTTAGTATTTAAGTAGACCTCCTATATAAGAACAAATTCCTATTATATTATTGGAAATATAGTCTTAACTTAAAGTTTCTGAAAATATGAAAAAACATCCCAGTGAAGAAAAAGAAACTATCGAAAACAATAAAGAAAATCTACCATTTGAATGCGCTGTGCATGTTGCTTTTTTACTACTTCAATAACTGATAACGAATCATTTCCGGTGAATTGCAGATTGGTGTCTTGAAAGACAGTGCTGCTTTCCGTGATGCTGTCAATTTGGCCGCCAACATAACAAGTGAGCCGCGTAATTATCATATGAGTTTAAGTGGTATTGAACGATTAAGGGAATTGCCACTAGATATGAAATCGCCACTTATCACCGGGTGTGGCTTGTTCCTTTTTTCGTATTTTTAGACGGAATCCCGCAATACTCTTTAGTTTACAGCCAGAACAACTAGGTACGTGTTCAAAAGCCTCAAAAGAAACTGTAAAAAATGAAATTTAGGACAGGACTGGGCCAGCACCAGCACCTCGTGGATTTGATCATAAACATGCTCCTAGTCAGCGTCATGCCCAGCGTACTCGAAAACAAGCCGTCAGTTTTACCATGCTATGCAGGCCTTAATGGTACAAGTGCCTGTTTTTTTTGTTGTTTTTTTTCAGTTATGGAGGACAAAGACGAGATGTACGACTCGCTGATAAACGGAAAAGCAATCGATGTGGTGATGGAAGACATATTTATCGGAATTGAGTCTATGAAGATCAAAGACAAGACACAACAGATGTCCATTGCAAAGTTCATTGGACGTAACCGTGGTTACGGCGTGGCGTATAGCGAAGACTTGTTTATGAAGGGTATCTCGGATTGTTTGTCGCAGTTGATCAAGTTCCGTTATGATGATGTGCTGAATATCACAAGGAATTACATTAAAGCTAACACGGTATAGTAGGACATATAATAGTCCAAAAGATGTCTGGATTTGAGTTACACAGTTAGCAAAGTTATAAAGTTCAGGTTGACTGACTGATTGGCTAACTGACTGACTGACTGACTGATTGACTGACTGACTGACTGACTACCTGACTGACTGACTGACGGACGGACCGACTGACTGGCTGACTGTCTGACTGACTGACTGACTGTGGAGTGATTGACTGAATGACTGTCTGACTGACTGACTGACTGATTGACTGACTGACTGACTGATTGACTGACTGATTGACTGACTGACTCTCAGGCCGACTGACAGACTGCCTGACTGACTGACTGACTGACTGACGGACTGACTGACTGACTGACTGACTGACTCTCAGGCTGACTGACAGACTGCCTGACTGCCTGACTGACTGACTGACGGACTGACTGACTGACTGACTGACTCTCAGGCTGACTGACAGACTGCCTGCCTGACTGACTGACTGACTGACTGACTGACTGACTGGCTGGCCGACTGACTGACTGACTGACTGACGACTGACTGGCGGACTGGCTGGCTGACCGGCTGACTGACTGATTAAATGACGGACTGACTGGCTGACGGGCTGACTGACTGACTGACTGACTGACTGACTGACTGGCTGACTGGTTGAGTGATTGACTGAATGACTGAATGACTGTCTGACTGGCGGATTGACTGACTGACTGACTGGTTGATTGACTGACTGTCTGACTGACTGGCTGGCTGACCGACTGACCAACTGACT